ATCTGTTTGCAAAACATTGTTTCGGTCTTGATATAATTAGGATACCTCGAAGGTCTGCCAGAACATGGATGCTGATATTAAGAAAAGGGTTCGGAGTATCTTTAAACTGTGATTAAACTTACTACTGATCATGACAAGGGTCTGAAGTTTAATTGAATATTAATGCTAACTATAATGTTTGAGATCTAGCGATTGTATACTAACAAATCCATGTTGTATATTTTAACAAAAGAATTAATTTGATTTACATTACCATAGATAAAAGTGATCAGTTTTCTTAGCGTAAAAAACATTTGTGATAATTTGTAATCAATTACACATCCAGAAATTTCGTAACTGTTGACATTTAATTGAGTTTCCTCAAACGAATTTAGGCTTTTCTTTGATATATAAAACATTGTATTCTCTTAGGTACGTTATACATCATTGAGTAAATTCAGCACAAACCATCTAATAAAATTATTTCGATTTAATGACCTATTTACTAACAGTATATTTCACCACAAAAATTAAGTTACGTGTATTTGGGGTTTTGTCAGCACTATAAACGTGACAGAATTTGGAATAATGCCATAACCTTCTTTCAAAGATAACAGGATGCTTTATACTGTCCTATAGATATATTTATATGTAACTTTTCAGAGAAATAGTTCACAGATTCTGATTCACAACTTTAAAAAAAAATAAGTATGTCAGGTTTCTGAACACAATTACCTACTTCTTAGAGTTCAATTTTACGAATCAGATTTCAATTCGAAACGTAGCTCTCGGGATAAATTACATACGCAATTATTAAAACTCAAAAATTACGGATTGTATTAAAATAATAATAATATATAGACAAATATTAGTTTTATTTTTACGTTCCAAAGATATACGGATTTCCTATAAATAAGACTTAATGCAATACTTTTCATGGATTACACAAACGTTTCAGAAGCCAATTAAAATTTTCATTTATACGAGATGATCAAAACGTATTGAAGAATAGTTATTACAAGTTGCAATTAGTGCTTCCATTTCGTTATGATAACTTTGCCAACAATCGGTTTTCGTGCATAGTAGAATACTTTGAATTTCCGGATGCTGCGGCTACACATCGATATGACGGAATTTCTACATTAATGGAAATGAACATTTTAATAATATGCAAATTTTAAAGTAAGAATAGAGTATTATTATTCTGACGAGATATTTAAATCAACATTCATTTTCTACAAAGTCGAATTTAGTTGAGGTGTTGTTATATAACGCTTAAATTTCTAATTTAAATATAAATGCAATAGTAAATGTGAAATATTAAACATATTATTGACACAGTACATGTATATGATATATTTATTTGCCAATGTTATGACAAGGGCATGTTACGCTCCAACTTCCATACATTATGCTAACGTATCATACTGAATACGGTCCAAATGTCATGTATTTGCTGTGCATTCATGCGTTTTACACATAAACTTCTATGTCACTTGTATGTTATGAAGCTGAGTCAGAAAGACCCTGTTAACTAAAATCTTTTTTTTGACATTTGTGCGGTTTCTAGATTAGGTTTTCTATCTGAAAACCGAACAATAACGCCTGACTGCATAACAACCACATGGCTTTTGTCAATATTTAGTATGAAAGTTCTTCATAACATAGCCTTTCCATAACATTGGTCTGCTGTGAAGCAGAATCGGTCTATTAATTTTTAATTCATATATATGTACATAAAACTATTAAACTTACTATTTATTAAAATTAATGTGAATTAATAATTAGTAATAATTAATAATTATAAGTAAATAAGTAAATATTATATTATAGAACAGAATTATTAAAGTAATAGGAACTGTATTATTTCCTAAAATTATATCGAAACTATCGTCCTTTGATTCATAATTACAATTTTCAATCAGACATTTTACAATGAAAAAAATTATAAACTCTTCAAATAATTGTAAAAATTGTATTGTAAATTAACATAATGTTATTAATTTAAATTAAAATCATTAAAAGTTTCATTATTGGTTTATAGGCCATAAGCATTTAAAGTTTAAGTGAACGACATTTGTCTATAATAAATATAATTCCTAGTAAAAATAATACATTTTTTATGATTTCAAATAATGACGATCCTATATATCATTTCTAAAAAATTCACACGATGTTCCACACCGTCATTGTAATTCTTTGCATGCCAAACACCGTTCCCTGAGTACTAAACTTTACGCGCTTACTAACATAAGTTATTCTTCAAACAAATACTTAGTTACAAACTTATAATATGATCCATAGTATCTTTTCCAATATATAGGTAATATTTCACTGCAAAACGTGTCATCCAAGAACAAACTTAGTCTAAAAATCATATTTTAAACTTGGTATTGCTTTTGATAATAGTATTGTATTTCAAACCAAAAGTAATTTAAAGTCTGAAGGATGCAAAGTTGTAGTTTGATGCATAATTAGTAATTAAACTCTACTTAAATTCCTTATATTAGCATGCAAATATTTAGAGAAGTTGTATACACAAATTGTAATTTTAATAATTCATTAGAGAAGTTGATTATAGTTTATCTAGAACTTAAAAAGGTTGTACTTTTGCTATTTAATTCCAAAATTTTAATTGATTATTTATATATGAAACCATAATTTAAAGTGATTAACTCTTTTGTTAAATTGTACGCTCTCATATATTTTTATTGAGTTTTCATGCACTATAAATTACATGCTGACATATTATGTACTCGAGTAATATTATGTACAAGTACATAGTGTATAATTGTAAACTTCTAAAGTTTAATGTACACATGCATTATTATGAACCAGAACCCTATTGCATACTCATACACCATTACGTCTTCTTGCACTATTATGTACTCGTACACTATTTCCTACTCATACACTATTTTCTACTAGTAAATTATTATGTGCTCGTGAAGTAGTATATAAACCAAAATTAATATTAACTCTAATACTTTTATATTTTCTCAATTCAGCAAACTTGGATAGCCTCCTTCCTGTTTTATCGAATATTCTTATTTCTCGAATATTATAAGAAATAGCCCTAAAGGTCCTAAATGAAATTGAAAACAAATAAATAATATTATACTTTCATGAAAATTCAAAAACATGAAGGTGGCATTATGGACAATAAAATCGTGAATTCATGTTATTCCATATTTGTACCGCAATACCCGAACCGAATCAAAAGGCAAAGGTAAGTACATCGTTTATTTTATGACTTAACATAACAATATAACACGCCTTCAAATAACCTTATTTTATGATTTCTGTATTTCTGTATATATTTTCACGCTTCATCGAGATATTTATATAAATAAATATATATATATATATATATATATATATATATATATAATATATAGCCCCATATACCGATATCTACCGACGTTTACAAGACAGCCTTTATTAAATTCTTGTACCGATTACACGCGACGTGGCATTCTGCTGTTAAAAGGGTGATAGAAAATACTGATAAATTAAACATAATAAATATCTCTACTCCAGAAAACAAAATAACAATTGTATTAAAAAATGTCGGACGATCTCGAGTTGTCAGCATTTCGTTCATCAAAACATTAATCATGCTTAAACACCAAAGCTTTCTGTTTCTTTGTGACAGTTATAATTACGTCTAATAAATTTTAAACATTCAATTTATAATTTTATATAAGAGAAAGAGGAATTGAAACAAGGTACAGCTTACGGTGTTTTCTATTTCAAAATATAAAATTTGTGTATTGGCATATTTCACCTGGGTTTTTTGACATGATTAATGGGCCTAACAATTTCAAACAAAAATACAAAAAACACAATTATTAGTGGTATATTTAGGATTAACTTATTCTATCGCAGGTTTAGAAATAGAAAATCATGTTTTCATATTTAGGTTGTTTTGGGTTGGCAGTTTTTATATTATTTTATCAAATGAAATCTATATCACTACTGCTTAATTTTAAGCTGTCCGAGACAGGAATAGAACATGGAATCTGTGATTGCAAAATTAAACTTAAACCATGATGCCATGGGCAAACTCATTCAACAAATGCGAACAGACAATATATTAGAGTCAATAAAAATTGGGATTTCATAGGTATTGCTTCTATACGTTTCCACCATGATCAGGAAGTCAATTTCAAAACAAAACACCATTCTTCACTTCCTAAAATATTACGAACAGCATCCCTGTCGGTTCCTCTGGGAAACATTTACATAATTTCATCCGATCCACTTTGATATCCACATCACATATGTACACATTTATAAATCATGACCATATTATATGTGTTCATATCTAACCTTCATGGTTGTCATAAACAATGTAATCTACTTCATAATCAAATGTCAAGCTGGGCAGCTCTACGCAATATATTAATGGATTCATTCAAATTATTACTATTCAACAGTTATATTTTAGTACAAAATCGTAATATGCATTTTGATGCGAAAATTATTGATATTACTATTTGTGGTTGTATTACAAGATTATGTCACTATCTGGCCTCTTAAGGCACTGTCTGGATTATGAATATATTATGTTATTTTTAATTCAATAAGAATTGGAATATAGTTTCAAATATATATAGAGTCTTCATATCCGGCATTTTCTTCATTCACAAGTAGACATGTTTTAAATATAAATTTATCATATTAAATTTTAGTGAAATAATTTAGACATTATTCTTCTGCCTTCATGCTAGGGGCTAAATTAGATAAAAAGTATATATTCATCTCATGATGACCGAGCGAGCAAGAGAAGTATTTACACGTCAATCATTCTATATCCCAAAACATTCCAAATATTCAAAAAAAACGACAGCTCAAAATTCCAAAACTTTTTGCGAAATTATTTAAATTCCACGCTTCTCTATCTTTCGCTTAGCGGTCTTTAATCTTCCATTCATCCATCAACTCAGGCAACGGAAGATTACAGACCCCGATCCGAAGTACACATGATGCATAATTAAACGTCCCAATGATTATTCCAGGCCCGTTCGTAAAGTGTTCGAGAAAATTCCAAATGGAGTTTCTACAAGATCGGCCAACGCCTGGAACAGGGCCGTACTTCGACACCAGTGTGCCGCAGAATTATACGGGACTCGTGGGTCAGCCTATAAGTCTACTGTGCAAGGTCAAGAATTTGGGAAACAGAACGGTATGTTATAATATGTTGATTTATTCATACATTAATTATGTAATTAACAAATTTATACATCACTAATAATTATTAAAAATATATTATGTATCATATACTCGGATGCTGCCGTTCTGACGCAAAATACCTATTAATTTAGTAATTTGCGAGTGAAAAAGGAAATAACAGATATAAAATAATTAATAAATAGTGTACGTTAATAGACATATATAAAATATAATACTAAAATTATCTGTAATTTGTAGAATCTAGTAATATTTTGGATGGTGAATTTATAATAAAAAGTCTTTCAAGCATCCATTAAAATAAATAAAAATAAAAAATAAAATAAAATTATTGAAAATATCTAATATAATGTAAAGATATAAACTTTAAGGATATTATTTATTATATACTTATTATATTTTCTATCATATATATATATATATATATATATATATATATATATATATATATATACATATATATGTAAAATCATTAATTATCAAAGGCTTCAAAGGTTTCCAAGTTCTCATTATCTGCGGTATAAATTATAATTACTTCGAGAGATAAAATATGAATAAAGCAATCGACTGCGTAGGTATATACATGACTATGCTCAGGCATACTTGTATGTAATAGTATTTGTTCTTATTATACAAATAAAAACGATTTCAACGCTCTTTCATCCTTTATATGGGCGTTACGCTCTTTAAATATTTCATTTATTCTGTTTATCCTAATTCTTTATCAATCAATCGCCCAACAATGGTTATTTTGAAACACTTCGATCGATTAACGAAGCCTTTCATTGTTCGTGATTTATTTGAATTTGTCTGATTTTACTTCAGAACGTAAATTCATTACGGCCCATTGATTGTTTCCTTTTGTGTATCGAAGCACAATGGCTTTTTAGAATAATTCACGCAGCACACACGTTTATATCACAAAATCTAAATGGACGAATATTGCGAATGACTAGAATTAAATTTCGAACGGGGTTGTTTTAAAATTTGACGCGGTGTTTCAGAAATGACAATCATTCGAGACTCATCTGGCGTAGGTGTACAGAGAAATAACACGTGCCCTATAGAATTAAGTATTAAACGAAAGCGATTATAAAGGGTTGGTTAATAACGGGGTAAGTCGGATCATGTAAATTATTTTATGCGTTTGAGATAATTTTGAATCTATTAACGCAAAAGGATTATTATTATTTTGGTCAGATTATCCAAGGCACGTTTGGAAAATGTTGCAATGCTTTATTAATTGCAGAAAGTAATACCACTGTAAAAATGTTTGTCATTGAAATTATAGAAACATTTTCTTCTATTGCCTATTTCAAATTTATGATTTTTTTACGCAAAAATGATCGTAATTGGAATTAACATCCCTTATACATATTTAGTGGGATAAAATTGCACGAAAAACATAAATTATACTGAAACTGTTATAGCACTATTCTATACAATATGCTTATGATAAGAATGATGATGGCGATAAATTCATAATAATTCTGATTTTTTCTAAATAAATTGATATATTGGTCAAAAAAAGATATGGATCCTAAAACGAGAGATTGTTAATTATATTTAATAGCACAGTTTAAACTGGATTTGCAAACAATGTTATGCAATACTTCTGTAACGTATAATATAATTATTTGCTTATTATTTTAATGTGAACTAATAGTTTTATGAAAAATACTTTTATAAATTACGTACCTAAAGCAACTAATTGCTTTTGCAAATATAAATTTAAATTTAATTAAAAATTTAAGATATAATTAAACGCCAAGCAATCTTTCTTTCATCATGCACTTCTAGCAGGACTTTATTTCTCCAGCTTTTCTCTGCAATAAACTGCAAACAGCAAAAATACGAGAACGTAATGTCATCAAACGACATGATAAGGCGCTCTATTCATAAAATTTAGTTCGGTGTACAACCAAGATTTTAAAATAAAATATGTACTTACAAGCGCATATATATTCGCATGAACAACAAAGTTGGCCACTTCTACAATAAAGCACGTTCGATATGAATACGTTAAGTGGATGCAGAGTTGAAGCTCGGTGCAGCTTCAAGTTTACACATGTAAAACCGTTCGTTTCGCGTTAAAATACAACAGTCTGTTAGAGAATGGACAGTAAGAGTCGTTGCTAGCTAGCATTCATATTTGCACGAATGCATTCATTAGAGTCGGCAGCTAGGGAAGAAGATAACAATGCTATGCAAAACTAAGTCCGCACGTACTGCCCGTTCATTGTGAAAACACGGATCGCAATCGACTACAAAATACAAATTCTAGAGGTAATGACATTTGATAGCAATCCTAGTTTAAAGGTTTGAGGAAGATATATATCACACATTTGAATTTGATAGGTCAAAGTTCGCAGTATGCAATGCAAATACCAAGTGTATACATAAGGGCACCCATGGCGACATATGACGAACCATTGAACATTGAACATTTTCGAACCATTGGAAATATTATGAAAAGTACTACAAAATATTTGATAAATATCGTTCATCTATAAAATAATTTACCATTCTCACGAAAATTTATTCAGATGAATCAAAATAAAAATAGAAATACCTCTAAGTGCAATGCGCATTGCAATAAAAATGTGTATGTAGTAAGGCAGTTTTTTATAATGTAGGTCAAACATAGTACGAATTGACAAATTGAATTAAGCCTATATTATTTTATGGGCTTCAAATCATTTAAAATTTATTTCCCAAAATTTGATCTATATTATTCATATCCATTATGTACAAAAAAAACTAATTGTGAAAATAAATTTCAATCCGACATCAGTTGCACCACTGACTGCATTTCGACTCATAGATACAAATTCGTTTATGCAGTTTATGCAAAATATTTACTATCACTAACATGATTAATTTTAAACGTAAACATATCTGCAGGTCCATGCTAATTTAAAGCAGTCTACAAATTGGAAACCTTGTTATATGTTGTCATATGTCTCTAGTTCCTAGTTTCAGAGTTGAGTTTGCAACAATCCAAGCAAATTTAAATTGAATGCCTCAATAGCACTAAGAGAAATACTATAGTAATGAATCATTGTATTAAATATGAATGGTAATAATTGAGAAATATTCTCTAAATAAAGAGGAAGAAAGTTAAAATCATGAAACAATAGTAAAAGCATCATCAAAAGATTTTTTTAAACAGAAATTCGTGGTTTGATTCAAATTGTGTACACAGAAATAATATAATAATGTTAAAATATTAATAATGATGCAAAATAATTCAAATTTTACAGAAAAATTCTATATGTTATTTGAAACATCCATGAAATTTCTGTAATAATTGCTAATATATTAATTCAAAAAAGCAATTCGTTTGTATCGGTAAATTTATTTTATATAAATACAACTATTGATGTCAAAATTACCTCTAGGAAGATCAAACTAATAGTTTCCAATTTATCTCTTCCGCACCAAAGCGACAGAAATGTCGTTTTCATACATCAAAGCCGTTAGTGGCCATCCTAGCCCGGATATTAAACAAGCGGCCAGCGCTTATTTCTCTAATTTACCTAAGCTCGTAATTTACAGAGGATCAAACACAACTCATATCGTTTAGACGCAATTTAGATATAATGAGATGCAAATTAACTACACATTACTGGCACATAGGAGTCGGTGATACGACATAGTATGATAATGAGGAAAACATCATACGCACCCATAAACATTATTCAATAATGACGTGACTGTGTACATGGGATCCAACAATAGCTGTCAGGGAACACATAGTGACATGAATGAGTTTTCAGTGAAAACTTTCCTCTGTGTAATAGGAAATTCATGTTATGCATTATCTCATCCACTGCAACTTTTTTAACAAAATAATCATAATGTGGGGCTCTTTTCTGAAAGAACTTCTTTAGTGGTGAGATGATGGTAGATATGAAACGCATATTTTAACATTTTGTATTTATCATTTTAAAAACGTAGCAACGTAGCAATCAGCATTAAGAATCAGCTCCTAATAAAAATCAAAAATATATATACACCTGCATTAAATAAGTTTCTCATCGGATCTTAACAGTTTGGAGCACCTTTTTTAGGCGAAAGCTTGGACAAAACAAAATAAACAATGTTTTAAATATTAATTAAATGATTTTTGAAATATTCTTACCATCCTTAATGATGTACTCAACTCATGCAATAATTTTAAAATATCCGCACCCTCTTTATATATATATAAAAAAGAACTCAAGCGCAAGAGGTAATATGAACTGCAACCAAAAAAAGAAAAGCGAACACACTCGACTTTCATAAAAGTCATAATTCAGGACGAACAAAACGATGTTCTCTAAGTACCATAGTCGTCGCTCTCAACAATATGTTCAAAGTTTTATTATTTATAAGAATCTAAGAAACCATCTGGAGAATAACAAATTGCATAAAATGAGGACATGAGAGAAGTAATCATATGACATATAATCAAATGTTATTGAATAGCTATTTGAAAGTTTGAAAAAGTTGGGTATTTATTAAGTTTCCTTTCAATTTCGTTCTACCATAAACTATATAAGAATGTATAAAATCTGTATGTTTTGGCATTATGTATATTCTATAAAGAATAATTGGATTTAATTATTATTACAATTCTTTCTCTCTCAAAAGTGCATGCAAGTTGCACATGAGTTTTCAATTTCTAACTACTCAGCCGCGTCGTGTTCAAAGCGCGCAATCTATTTGCTCGAATTTATAGTTCATATCTTTTAAATTATATTCCCGTTTTATGCAGCATATAAAAATGAATATATTTGGAATATATTTACAGAACTACATTTTTTATACATGTATAATAAAATACTTAACCAATACGTAATAATAGCATTGAATTCATGGCATTTATTGACATTTTTGATCAAGCATTCAAATGTAATAATAAAACACATTTCGAATATAGTTATTGATATTATGCACTATGATAATATCATTGTTTAGAAAATGTATGTAAAAATCAACCGTATTTTTGCA